AACGAACTAAAAACATTGAACAAGGAAATCGAAGAAAAGATGTTGGCAGGATTACTCTTGCTCGAACCAGTCGAATACAACACCAAGAAAGCTGCAATAGAAGCGAAGGTAGACAAGGTGGAACTGAAGGTAATGACGATGTTTCTCATTCCTTGCATGACGTAAAGTCGGTCCATTTCTTTAGTTCTCACGTCGGATATGATCTTGAAGTAAGCCTCTTCCCACGAGTAGAACTTGATGATCTTCAAGTTGTTCAACACCTCTTTGATGTAGTTGACTCTCTGGTCGGTAAACACAGTGGCCAGTTTTCTAACTGCAAACATCTTCTTCGAAACACCGCCAATTCCCACGAGAAATACTACCAACACCGCAAACCCCATCAAGGCCGAGGCCCCAAGGTTGACGATCAACACCACGAGAATACAGATCAAGGAAGAAGGGAAAGATATCAAGAACGGTTGGAAGCCAGCAGCAAAATCGATTCTTGCAGTATCGGTGCTCATCATCGATGTGATCTTGGAAGCAGGAAACTGGTGTCTCAGCTGGGGGTTCAATCGGAATGATTTTTCCAAAATGGCTTTGGTCAAAACTCCCTTCAATTGTGCACCCGTTAACATTCCCCTGTAGAAACCCTGACTTATACATAAGGAACCAGATATCAACATTATTGGCACACCAATAGCGAGGCCCACACCCCGGCCGGTGTGGTGTTCGAGGCCCAATGCCTTCATTTCCACGTACTTGATCAACTCCTTCGTTACGAGTGGTGTCAAACAATTCAACAACCCAGCCACAGTTACACTAACGGCTGCAAAAGTATATTGCCATTTGCACGTCAAGAACAAGCACCACAAAAACATCTTTCTTGGTACTTTGAAGTCTGCCAAGTCGTCATCTGGGTCAACAGATGATGTAGGTACAGTTTCTCCTCTTTCCGTACACTTGTTTGCAATATGCTGCTCCTGTGCGATTTGCAAGTAATGTTCAAAGTAAGAGTTGAACTGTGTTGCCAAGTATTCTACTTTAGTGGTGTCTGCAAGCAAGTACATATCATCCACCTGAAGAGTTCTCTTGTATCCTACTTTAAGAATCGGATTTAACCAAAGGAAGAACAACTGGCTGATCCAATTGGATTTTTTCTCCGGACAAACTTTCCGTTCGTCTTCCAGGGGGATAGGAGGCACCCGCTTGGAGAGAAACGGGGTCAAAGATCTCCTTTGAAGCTTCAATGGATCATTAGACATGTTTTGTTTACAGAAGCAAAAAGCACCTGGCACAATGGTTTGTATTTATATTATGAGGTGAAGTGCACGCCACCTATATCCGGTTGATACCGCCGTGCTTAGAGGAAGAGAAACCGCCTATGTCCGGTTGATACCGCCCGCAATTAACACATATCCACCGCGTAAAACCGAATAACACCGGTAAACGAGAGAAAATGATTACATAAGCGCTCACCCCTCCCTTCCTGGTGGCTTCTCCATAAAAGGTTTAGTGTTATCGTAGTTTCTATGCAGATGATAAATGTCGTCAAATACAGTTAGTCTTCTCTGTAATTCAATTATTGCGTTCCTTTGGGTGTATGGGTCATCTTTTGTTTTTGTGTGGTTGAGTTTGTAAACTAGCAGTATAATACGCGGGGCTTCGAACAGTTAAAGTCTTCAACATTTTTGCTCACGGCTGCTAGCTTGGGAAGTTGTTTAATTTTTGTGCCAGGTTCCTGAGGCTGGCACTCTTTTGTATGTTATTGTTTCAAGGGCAAAAAAAGATAGTGAATGAGGCGAGATTCGAACTCGCGCGACTTTACGTCAACAGGACTTGAATCTGCCGCCTTAACCACTCGGCCACCCATCCAGTATCGATTACCAAAACACCCCAGGTGTAATATTAGGAAAAGCTTGGAACACAGAATAAATGGGCAATTGGCCGTACAAAAGTGTTTTCTGCCTGAAAATGAAAAGCCTATACACACGAAAAAGGTTCAGATTCTAGTGGAGTTAAAAATCGCACAGAATGTGAGGTTATCGAACAGAGAAAGACTTTGTCAGTAAAAGTGTAGTGGCTCTGCGTGTGCTTGATAGCAGAGATGTGTATTGGACTGGCTGGTGTACAAAAATGGAACCACTGACGGCAACATCCAGTATTTTTTGGGTGTGATGACCCTTTCAGAAATAGGGGTTATAAGTTATTCAGATATAGGGTCCACCATCTATGATGGATATTGGGCAGAAAAATTGGGTGCATTTTTGGCACTCAACAAAAAGACCCGCAAAAACATATAAAAGCATTTCTGATGGTAGCACTATGAATTATACGGAGCTGTCTCAGCTACAACATAACCAACACAACCAACCACCATTCACAAACACAAACACAAAATGAACAATTTCATAAGAGGCTTCCGGTACTTGAAGGCTGCCAGAACCATTAGTGGGGGCTCCAACTGCAACTGCCACGACGATACTGTGATCAATTTTCCGTATGATTTTGGAAATGAGCTTCAGCCGGTGGTAAATACAAAGAATCCTGTGAACAAGCACTTGAACAAGCACTTGCTTAATTCAGCTTGGGTTTACTTTTAGTTCTATTCAATATATTTGATACACCTGGCGTTACAGTGGGAGAGCGTACACTTACAATAGGGGAAGATGTGAGTCTCAAATAAGAAATCAAATAGGAGTAGGGCTCAACTCTGGGTGCATGGGTCAGGGGGTTAGGGTCAATTTGTGTGCCTATTTGACCGTCTACTAGCATACTTCGACCTTGTGCAAGACAAAAATTGCAAATGGCTGCGAAACGGAGACGGAGTAAAAACGAGCGGTCCAACATAAGCAGGCTAAATTCGTCCTTTCACAGTCCTTAAAATTGGAAAATAGATTATCTCTTCCTGCCAACTGTTTTCGTCACAGGAGCTACACTTGG